TCTCGAGGTCAGCATTTTTGGCCAGAACATAGTCGGTGATCTTGGACCACCACGTGTCGCTGCCAGGGGCAGAATAGACCCACCCCGGGGCTCTAAAGTCCTTCGGAGGAAAACTCCCACCGACTCGAAAGAAACGGTGACGGAACCGTCACGCGCTTGCACGAACTCTCCACTCCATACCCAGCAGTGGAGCCCGTAAAGACGCCACAAGTGACCCCGTCCTGAGAAGGGGTCAAATCCCAGTGCATCGTCCGAGGAATGGCGAGGGACCGCAGCTCGGCGATCGAAAACCCTCTCGACATGCTGGGGAGGTAATAATGAACCCCCTCTACCGTGCGGAACCACCGGCTCTCTTTGAGCAACAGGGCGGAAGGGTCGGCCATAGCGTCGCCGAACAAAAATTGAGGCTTCGGCAGCTCTGCCCTGTCCTCATCTGTCAACGCCGCGTTGGTCGTCAACTCGCGTAATGTCAAGTGATGACCATCCGTGACTCTCTGTACCAGACCATGCGGCTTATCAGCGGTGAATGTGGGCATTGGGGCCAGAGAAGGAAATCGAGAAGGTGCCGTATAACTCGTAGCCCCGGCATGGCCAATGGCCACACCCTCCGGGAAAGCCTCATCAGAAAAGGTCGCTGCAACAAGGAATGAAAAGTCAATGGAGACAAAATCCGCTTCTAAGGCAAAATCGCCCATCGAACAGAGGAGGGCGAAGTCGCCTATCGAAAGGGGGAACCCGTTTCGAACAAGATCTATCCATACAGACTATACTCCCCTCTAATGAGAAAGGGCCGAACTCGCCTTGCGAAAAGAGAAGTTCGCCTCCTTCCCACTGAAGGATTCGCCTGCAGGGACAATACTCATCCTCTAAAGGCAAAATAGGGCAAACTTTGCCCCAAATCGGGGAAATGAGCAACACTCATCTCCCTAAAATCCGACGCCTAAGACCTACGAAAGTTCGTCCAAACAAACCCATCAACGTACCTGGGCGCGACTCCAGAGCACCGGCAGGCATGCCGGCGGAGAGACGGTCGGAGTAACGTCCGGGGCCTGCGCCCCTCACCTTGCACCTCTTAGATTTCGGAGCCATTGCAGGATGAAGCGGGAATTCTTTCCTTGGAAGTTACTTTCGAGATTGGAGGGCACGGTAACTCCCAATGGAGGAAGATGGCTGATTTGGAAGGGCGGAGTTATCCACGTGGCCATAATTGCCCTCGAAAGGCGAAAACCCTAACGGACAGGAGACGTGGCCACGGTCAAACTCGACGGCCCAGATCACCCTCGATATATTGAAGGAACCGAGGTTGGCGGTTGCATCCGACGGTTGAATTCGAAAACCACGGCCACGATGCGTTGCGGGGCGAAACACGCAAAAATCGGGTTGTCAAGTCACGATCGCCACGACCCGATGAGACCGCGCCGCCTTAGCTGGAAAGCACAAAGCCCTATCAGCAGACACGTGGCTCATCTCCTGTCAGATCTGGGCCCGCCTCAAAAAGGAAGGGTTTCGCCTGCAAATACTTGGCATGACCCCGCGAGTTGCGCGAAACTTGGCTCCCAAAGACTAATTTCGCCTGGACGACTCGCTCGCCACTAAAGGTAAAATTATAAACGAAGCCAATAGAACGACTCCGCTTAAACGGTTAAAGCCCACGCCTCAGACGGCTAAGGGTTAGAGCAGAGATCTTAGCATTAAGCCTAAGAGAAACTGTTCGACAACTCATCATACTGAGGGGAATAGTATGGCTAGCCCGATTCAAACGGTGATCGGTAAAGGCACGTCAAACCCGTTGATAGCTGAGGATTTGCTAAAAATCCTAAAAGAAATCAAGTGCGCTTACTTCGCCGAGAATTTCTTCATTCAAAGTATTCCAGACCACACGCGAACTGGTTTAGGTCTGAAAACTTTGAAGGGGGTCTTGTAGACGGTAAAAAATACCTCTATAGGCTTACAGGAAATCTGAAAACTTTGAAGGGGGTCTTGTAGACGGTAAAAAAAATACCTCTATAGGCTCACAGGAAATTCGCCTGCGAAAAGAGCTCGCACGCCCGGTTCTCTGGCACGGGCCTAAATCGCATGGACATCGCACATGTTCGATTCTAAGTTCGCCTTACGGTCGGCTCGCCAGCACGAGTTAAGATCGATTAGGATGGCGGAAGTTCGCCTTTCACTCAACTCGCCTGCCCGAGTCCAGAGTCGAATCCGCCAGCAAACCCCAAGACCGTCAGTACAGCTGGGTATCCACTACCCCACGTGCTGAGATGGACCTTCCCATCTCTCTCGACCCGAAGGGAGAGAGAGCACGATACCCCAGGACCGTCAAACGGCCGCTCGCAGTACGCGCAGCACGAAAGCCTGGACAGGTGTCGAGTCAACCTGAGCATTCATAAATGCGACTCACCTCGGCTGTCTGAGCCAAGAGCTGGATCCGCCGGCACTCGGCAAGCTGGCTAGACCCACTCGAGTACTGTACACCTACTTCACCGCCTCTCCTGACCGGAAAGGAGAAAGCACCGTGCTCAAAGCACGCCGGGCGGTCACGCACAGTACAAGTGATCGGACAGACACTTCATCGATCTGCGAACTCATAAATGCGGTTCATTAATGCTGGTCAAATCCACTCGGATAGCAGTCGTTCGTTGCCTCACACACAAGAATGGGCCTTCCCATCGTAGGTGACAGGACATAGAGCACAATCCCTGGAATGACCATTCATGGTATCGAGGAACGGCGAGACGTCTCTGAAGAGGATGTGGTCACATCCCACAATTCAAGGAGAAGTCGAGCTGTCCTTCTTTCATTTAAAAGCCCCTTCCAGCACAATGGAAGAGAGGGTCGCAAAAACTTGGAGAAAAAAAAGTTGAGACCAAGCTGTTAGCAAATCCTTGCATTACAGCACTGCTGCCTAGTTCCGAGCTCCGATCGCCGACGAACTAAGCAGACCCGAACTCCATTACCCCGAGCTTCTACTGCGAACTGAAGCTCTCCAGCAACCTCATTCAAACGGTCCAAGGGAAGCAGACTCGACCCGAGCATCGAGCGAAGCGTCCTATAGCCACCTAAAGTCCCCACACAAAACAAAGAGGGCCTTCCCTCTGCTTCTGTTGTAAACATTTGATTTGTTAGTTTGTAATAAGCTTTCTTATAAATACAAACGAAACTCCTTTCTTCGGAAGAATCAAATTTTCACCCTACAGAAGATGGCGACCACAGTGGGAGAATCCGTTCATTCAGATGAATTGGTGGTGGCGCAGTCCGACGAAGTTGCTGCAGGGACTACGGTTGAGTCCCTTGTGATCAAATTCGAGGGGTACTTACAATCGTCCTCTTCTGGCGGCAATACATCTCGCGATAACTGCATAGTCGTGCGGGTGGCCCAGCCCCAAGAGGCCGAGGCAACCAAGCCTGAGGGATCTACCCAAGCCGAGGCAGGGGGTTCTTTTCCCCCCAAACCAGTTGAGGCCGAGCCAAGATTCGAGAATGCGGGTCTAGGAGCTGCTGGGTGGGTCGATGAACGATCCTCGCAGACCCCTGTGCAAAAGGAATCAACCATTCGTGTCGACGCAGAATACGCCTCCGCCGTCGACATGAACGCTCCTCGTTCAAAAAGATCCAAACAGCGGCGACGAAAAGCTCTCGCTCGTCTCGAGGCACAATCCCTCATCCCCCACGACAGCCTGAATTATTATTCAGGCTGGAGAGGAATCAACCTCTTGAGCCAGGTTCCCATTTTTGGCGAACCGCTCAAATCAGGCGAGCCTAGCAGTTTAGGCGAGCTCCACTTCTTGAGCCAGGTTCCCAGTTTCGGCGAACCGCTCAAATCGGGCGAGCCTAGCAGTTTAGGCGAGCCCAATCTCTTGAGCCAGGTTCCCAGTTTTGGCGAACCGCTCAAATCAGGCGAACCAAACGGTTTAGGCAAGCCCCACTTCTTGAGCCAGGTTTCCATTTATGGCGAACCGCTCAGACCAGGCGGAACTAGCAGTTCAGGTGGGCTGCATCAAACTCCCACTTGGTCAAACCTTTAGATAGTTAGGACCAAAGCCACAATCCCCCGCCAATCCTCTTCAATAGGATGGCGGGACCCCCAAATCTGTCACGTTAACAGTCACCTCTGACAAAACAGCTTACCAGTCCTCTTCAATAGGATGGTAAGTCCATAGAGTTGCTCAAATCGCAATAAACTCCCACTGTCATGTTAACACTACACCTCTGACAAAATCAACTTACCAATCCTCTTCAAAAGGATGGTAGGTCCTCAAAGTCGCTCCGATCGCGGCAATTCCTATCATGTTAACAATTACCTCTGATAGCCGACACCGTCATTCCCGCAAATGACGTTGTCCGATCAGTCGTCATACTCATACGTCCCTGAACGATTTGATTCTCCCAGCACCGTCTTTCCCATAAAAGGCGTTGTTGTTTGATAGTGGCCTACTATGCGATGTGCTGCTATTTCAGGGTTCGTCTTTGCCCCAAGAGAAGACAAATCAGGGTTCGTCTTCATCTTTGCCCTAAGAGAAGACAAGTTTCCCCCTTACACTCCAACTGGTGCATGAGTCTAAACTGCTCCTACCCTCCGACTGGTATACGAGGTTAAACTGCTCCCTTAAATCCAAACGCCTCGAAAGGCTAAGGATAGAGGAGAAATTTTAGCATTGAGCCTAAGAGAGACTCCTCGACAACTTACCATGCTAAGGGCAAGAGCATGGCTAGTCCAACTCAAACGGCAGTTGGTAAAGACAAATCAAGTCCGTTGATAGCTGAGGGTTTGCTCAAAATCCTAGAAGGCGATCATCAGCTGCGAGTGAAGAGCAGGGATCACTTTACGGGACTTCATATCCAAAGTGTTCCAGACCCCATGCGGCCTGATTCAGGTCTGAAAACTTTTCTTTCCCTCTCGGCCTTGAGCTTGTCAAGAACCCATGCATACTTGAATGACCTCTTGTTCATCTCAGAAGCTTCCTTCTCGAAACTCTCAATTTCACATTTCCTGACAGCTCCCAACACTGCAAGTTGTCAGCTTGTCTCTCTTATCAATATTTGATTTTGATGATTGTTGGTTACTCAAATTCTAATTTATTGTTCTGTCATTCTAAAATCTCATGAACCTACAACTTGCAGCCTGTCCGTGATCGCTTCAAAAATAACGCTGATGCCAAAAAGCTATTGGAAAAAGTGAAGGTAACCTTTACTTGATGCTCAATTGCTCATAAGATATGTACATTCATGAGATATCAACCATGACTTACATAACTATGGTTCCTCTCTGGACATTATGTTTTAAAATTAGAACTATAGTTCTTGCTTGCATTTATGAATAGAATTTTCCTTAGAGTTGATGATTGATGTGAAAATCCTCCCTCTTTTTGCAAGCGTACAAAGTTACTAGGTGATTATTCTTACTTGTTGGTGTTGGGAATGGTGACGAGTTGTAACATAAAAATTCTAATTTTCTTATTGCTTGGTGGTCCTTCAGATTCTTATTGTTCTTGTGGGTTTTGATAATTCGAAGCATTACGACATCAAAATCGATATTACTTTCATGTATTTTGATTTGGAAATGCACGATAAGTTAGAATTGATATTGCATAAAAGCTTATAGATGATTCCTTTGAAAGTGGTATGAAGCCTCTTATGCTAGCATTTCTCGATATTACTTTCATGTATTTTGCTTTGGAAATGCACGATAAGTTAGAATTGACAGTTAATAAAATTTTCTTATCATGCAATCATTGATTGTGACATTTATTTGTGCAGGAGCGTAGATTGTAACATTTTTATGGTGGGATACATATATTCCATCATCAATGGCACACCTAACGTAACGCACAGCTACCCCTCAATCAGAAACCATTCGTCAATGCACACTAACTTTCCAATCAAATACATGAGAGAATCCCCCACTATTGGCATTCGATCAGATCTTCGCATTGCTGTCACATTGCAACCCAAACGGCAAATCAACTACAGCCTGCAATATGATGTACCAAGTAGTATCCAATGTATCGTGTTGTATGAAATTTTCTATATTATGTATATATAGATGATTTGTGTGCATATTGTATCAAATGCACTATCCAATGTATCATGTTGTATCAAATTTATCAGTGTAACTAGTAGAAATGTATCTAGTAGAAATGTATACAACGTTTCGATAGTGGTGATTTTGGATTATTTCCATTCAATCTTCATGGATTATTTTCATTCAATGTTATGCGCTTGAGTTTAGTGGTTGATAGATATGAATATCTGTAATGAACTGATGCACTGATTGAACTGAAGAAATTTTGATGGTAGGTTGTGTTAACTACAGCCTATTGGGCAATATTATGTGTCGCGTGACCAATTATCCACCTCGACGAGGGGTACTCGCTCAATTTTTAGATTTTGATAAAGTATAGCACTTTATGGGAAAGTATAGCAGCTTATTGATAAAGTATAGCACCTTATTATAAAGTATAGCACCTTATGGCAATAGTATAGCACCTTATCGATAAAATATAGCACCTTATGGTCGCTGGAAATTCAGCAACTTATTGTGATAAGTCAAATCAGTTTTTTTTAGGGCAATGCAAACACTCGACGACCTACGTGACGTGTTTATTGACCAATCATCCACCGTGACGGGGGGTCCTCGTGCAATTTTGAAGCTTCTGGGCAAAGTATAGCACCTTATGGGAAAGTATAGCACCTTTTGGCTAAAGTATAGCACTATATTACAAAGTATAGCACTTTATTGGGAAAGTATAGCACCTTATTGGTAAAGTATAGCACCTTATGCTTTCTGGAAATTCTGCACCTTAAGTGTCTAAAATCAAATCAGTTTTTTTCGCCGTGACGAAACCTCTCGACGACCTACGTGACGTGTTTATTGACCAATCATCCACCGTGACGGGGGGTCCTTGCACAATTTTGAAGCTTCTGGGCAAAGTATAGCACCTTATGGGAAAGTATAGCACCTTTTGGCTAAAGTATAGCACTATATTACAAAGTATAGCATTTTATTAGGAAAGTATAGCACCTTATTGGCAAAGTATAGCACCTTATGCTTTCTGCAAATTCTGCACCTTAAGTGTCTTAAATCAAATCAGTTTTTTTCGCCGCGATGAAACCACTCGACGACCTAGGTGATGTGTTTATTGACCAATCATCCACCGTGACGGGGGGTCCTCGCGCAATTTTGAAGCTTCTGGGCAAAGTATAGCACCTTATGGGAAAGTATAGCACCTTTTGGCCAAAGTATAGCACTATATGGCAAAGTATAGCATTTTTTCGCAAAGTATAGCACCTTATTGGCAAAATATAGCACCTTATGCTTTCTAGAAATTCTGCACCTTAAGTGTCTAAAATCAAATCAGTTTTTTCGCCGCGATAAAACCTCTCGAACGACCTACGTGACGTGTTTATTGACCAATCATCCACCGTGACGGGGGTCCTCGAGCAATTTTGAAGCTTCTGAGCAAAGTATAGCACCTTATGGGAAAGTATAGCACCTTTTGGCCAAAGTATAGCACTCTATGACAAAGTATAGCACTTTATTGGAAAAGTATAGCACCTTATTTGCAAAGTATAGCACCTTATGCTTTCTGGAAATTTTGCACCTTAAGTGTCTAAAATCAAATCAGTTTTTTTCGCCACGATGAAACCTCTCGACGACCTACGTGACGTGTTTATTGACCAATCATCCACCGTGACGGGGGTTCCTCGCGTAATTTTGAAGCTTCTGGGCAAAGTATAGCACCTTATGGGAAAGTATAGCACCTTTTGGCCAAAGTATAGCACTATATGGCAAAGTATAGCACTTTATTGGTAAGTGTCTAAAATCAAATCAGTTTTTTTCGCCGTGACGAAACCTCTCGACGACCTACGTGACGTGTTTATTGACCAATCATCCACCGTGACGGGGGTCCTTGCACAATTTTGAAGCTTCTGGGCAAAGTATAGCACCTTATGGGAAAGTATAGCACCTTTTGGCTAAAGTATAGCACTATATTACAAAGTATAGCATTTTATTGGGAAAGTATAGCACCTTATTGGAAAAGTATAGCACCTTATGCTTTATGCAAATTCTGCACCTTAAGTGTCGTAAACCAAATCAGTTTTTTTCGCCGCGATGAAACCACTCGACGACCTAGGTGATGTGTTTATTGACCAATCATCCACCGTGACGGGGGGTCCTCGCGCAATTTTGAAGCTTCTGGGCAAAGTATAGCACCTTATGGGAAAGTATAGCACCTTTTGGCCAAAGTATAGCACTATATGGCAAAGTATAGCATTTTTTCACAAAGTATAGCACCTTATTGGCAAAATATAGCACCTTATGCTTTCTAGAAATTCTGCACCTTAAGTGTCTAAAATCAAATCAGTTTTTTTCGCCGCGATGAAACCACTCGACACCTACGTGACGTGACGACCTACGTGACGTGTTTATTGACCAATCATCCACCGCGACGGGGGGTCCTCGCAATTTTGAAGCTTCTGGGTAAAGTATAGCAAAAGTATAGCACCTTATGGGAAAGTATAACACCTTTTGGCCAAAGTATAGCACTATATTATAAAGTATAGCATTTTATTGGCAAAGTATAGCACCTTATTGGCAAAGTATAGCACCTTATGCTTTCTGAAAATTCTACACCTTAAGCGTCTAAAATCAAATCAGTTTTTTTCGCCGTGAAGAAACCTCTCGACGACCTACGTGACGTGTTTATTGACCAATCATCCACCGTCGCGGCGAAAAAAACTGATTTGATTTTACACACTTAAGGTGCAGAATTCCATTATGTATAAGGTGCTATACTTTGCTAATAAGGTGCTATACTTTGTTAATAAAGTGCTATACTTTGCAATATAGTGCTATACTTTGGCCAAAAGGTGCTATACTTTCCCATAAGGTGCTATACTTTGCCCAGAAGCTTCAAAATTGCGCGAGGACCCCCCGTCGCGGTGGATGATTGGTCAATAAACACGTCACGTAGGTCATCGAGAGGTTTCGTCGCGGCGAAAAAAACTGATTTGATTTTAGGCACTTAAGGTGCAGAATTTCCAGAAAGCATAAGGTGCTATACTTTACCAATAAGGTGCTATACTTTGCCAATAAAGTGCTATACTTTGCCATATAGTGCTATACTTTGGCCAAAAGGTGCTATACTTTCCCATAAGGTGCTATACTTTGCCCAGAAGCTTCAAAATTGCGCGAGGACCCCCCGTCACGGTGGATGATTGGTCAATAAACACATCACCTAGGTCGTCGAGTGGTTTCATCGCGGCGAAAAAAACTGATTTGATTTAAGACACTTAAGGTGCAGAATTTGCAGAAAGCATAAGGTGCTATACTTTGCCAATAAGGTGCTATACTTTACCAATAAAGTGCTATACTTTGTAATATAGTGCTATACTTTAGCCAAAAGGTGCTATACTTTCCCATAAGGTGCTATACTTTGCCCAGAAGCTTCAAAATTGCGCGAGGACCCCCGTCGCGGTGGATGATTGGTCAATAAACACATCACCTAGGTCGTCGAGTGGTTTCATCGCGGCGAAAAAAACTGATTTGATTTAAGACACTTAAGGTGCAGAATTTGCAGAAAGCATAAGGTGCTATACTTTGCCAATAAGGTGCTATACTTTCCCAATAAAGTGCTATACTTTGTAATATAGTGCTATACTTTAGCCAAAAGGTGCTATACTTTCCCATAAGGTGCTATACTTTGCCCAGAAGCTTCAAAATTGCGCGAGGACCCCCCGTCGCGATAGATGATTGGTCAATAACACGTGATGTTTATTTATTTATTTATGTTACTTATTCAAAAAAAAAATTTGTTTTTTTTATAAGAAACAAAAGAATTTTTTTTCTTTTAAGAAACAAAAGGAAAATTAGTTTTTTTTTTTTTATAGATAATGAGGTTCATGAAGAACCAACACCTCTTCCTCTCCGAGCGTAGAAAATTCTAAAAATGGTTTCAGACGTTGACCATTTATTTTAAAAATATTACCATTTTTAGGATTTTCTATCTCGACAGCTCCATGTGGAAAAACTTGTTTAACAAAAAATGGACCAGTCCATCTTGATCTTAATTTTCCCGGAAAAAGATGCAATTTTGAATTGTACAATAAAACTTTCTGTCCTGGAGAGAAATTTTTTCGCAAAATTGATTTGTCATGAAAAATTTTTGTTTTCTCTTTGTAAATTTTTGAGTTTATGTATGCATCATTCCGAATTTCTTCCAACTCATTTATTTGGAGCAATCTGTTCTTACCTGCTGAGTCTGAGTCAAAATTTAACTGTTTTATTGCCCACATTGCTCAATGTTCCAATTCTACTGGTAGGTGACAAGCTTTCCCGAATACCAGTCTGTATGGTGACATCCCTAAATTGGCCTTAAAAGCTGTTCTATATGCCCACAGAGCATCACACAATTTTACAGACCAATCTTTTCTGTTATGATTAACTGTTTTTTCTAAGATTTGTTTGATCTGCCTGTTTGTGACCTCTACTTGTCCACTGGTTTGGGGGTGATAAGGAGTTGACAATTTGTGTGTGATTGAATATTTCCTCATCAAAGCCTCGAAAGAACGGTTACAGAAATGTGTACCGTTATCACTGATGATCGCTCGAGGTACTCCAAACCGGGCAAAAATGTTCTCTTTCAAAAACTTGACAACGACCTTGTTGTCATTAGTTTTGCAAGCTACCGCCTCAACCCATTTTGACATGTATTCAACGGCTACTAGAATGTAGACATTTCCAAAGGAATTTGGAAATGGTCCCATGAAATCGATACCCCACAGATCAAAAAGTTCAACAGATAAGATGGGTTGTAAAGGCATCATATTTCTCCTAGTGACCTTCCCTAAAAGCTGACAGCGGTTACAGGTTTTGCAAAACTCGAATGAATCCTTAAAGAGAGTGGGCCAATACAGCCCAGATTGGAGAACTTTTTCAGCTGTTTTTCTCGGGCCAAAGTGGCCCCCACAGGCTTCCTTATGACAAAAGGATATAACACTCCTAGTTTCTTCAGTGGGAACACACCTCCTAAAGATCTGATCAGGACAGTATTTGAACAGATATGGATCATCCCAGTAAAAGTATTTTACTTGGGAGAGAAAACGGGATCTATCCTGTTTGGACCAATGAGAAGGGA